CGTGTCTCCATCTATCTCTCCATGTCTCCGTCTGTCTCACCGTGTCTCCATCTATCTCTCCATGTCTCCGTCTGTCTCACCGTGTCTCCATCTATCTCTCCATGTCTCACCGTGTCTCCATCTGTCTCTCCGTGTCTCACCGTGTCTCACCGTGTCTCTGTTTATCTCTGTCCGTCCCCAGGATGAGTTCCATCCGTTCATCGAGGCGCTACTCCCCCATGTCCGGGCCTTCGCCTACACCTGGTTCAACCTGCAGGCGCGCAAGAGGAAGTACTTCAAGAAGCACGAGAAGCGCATGTCAAAGGAGGAGGAGCGCGCAGTGAAGGACGAGCTGCTGGGCGAGAAGCCCGAGGTGAAGCAGAAGTGGGCGTCCCGCCTGCTGGCCAAGCTGCGTAAGGACATCCGGCCCGAGTTCCGGGAGGACTTTGTGCTGACGGTGACGGGCAAGAAGGCGCCGTGCTGCGTGCTGTCCAACCCGGACCAGAAAGGCAAGATGCGGCGCATCGACTGCCTGCGGCAGGCTGACAAGGTGTGGCGCCTGGACCTGGTGATGGTCATCCTGTTCAAGGGAATCCCGCTGGAGAGCACGGACGGTGAGCGGCTCGTCAAGGCGCCGCAGTGCGCCAACCCCGGCCTCTGTGTTCAGCCACACCACATCGGCGTCTCCGTCAAGGAGCTCGACCTCTACCTGGCCTACTTCGTGCACTCAGGTGGGTCCCTGCTGCTGGAGGTTCTGATGGTGGGCAGGCTCCTAGTTCTGATGGGTCCAGATCCCTGGTTCTGATGGTGAGATCCGGTTCAGCGGTTCTGGATTTTCAGACCATTTGTCTGCTGCAGAAACAGGAAGTGACAGATGCAGCTTTTCATATTAAAACACTCTCGCAGAAAAAGGCTAGGGGTCAAAGGTAATCCTCTCACCTTGGCAGCCGCTTTAGAGACACAATGAGAGGTTAGAGGTCAGCATGTAGGGGGCCTGACCCTCCTCCACCCATCTGTCTCACTGTGTTCATCCGCTGCTGAAAGTAGTTCCTGATTGGACTTTCACCTCTGCTGGCTCAGCATACCTGCTGCAGATGTGTGTGTGTGCGTTTGTGTGTAATACGTTGTGGGGATCATTCTCCTGACACATACTACGTTGTGGGGTCTAATTGCTCCTTGTGGGGACCGAAGCCTGGTCCCCTCAATGGGAAACGCTGTTTTTGGGTCAGGGGTCAAATTTAGGACTAAGGCGTGAATTGAGTTTTGGTTTGGATAAGGGTTAGGTTTAGGCTGCAGAAATGAATGGAAGTAAATGGAAAGTCCCCATAAAACGTGTGTGTGGGTGTGTGTATGCGCATGAACCAGGTTTTTATATCCTTGTGGGAACCTATGTCTGTCTACAATGTGGGGCTGTGGGGACCTCTGCTCCTTGTGGGGACATTTTCCTGGTCCCCATGAGGGGAAATGCTGCTTGTGGGTTAGAGGTTAGAGTTAGGGCTAGAGTGTGTGTGTGTGTGTGCGTGTGTGTGTGTGTGTGTGTGTGTGTGTGTGCGTGTGTGTGTGTGAGCTCTGAGCTCTTAACCAGATTTGAAGCTTCATTTCTGGACTAATTACCGAAGTCCTGACTGACCTGCAGACTCACACCTGAACTCTGCTTCACCTGCTGATGCACACACACACACACACACACCCATGCACCCATACACACACATACACACACACCCATGCACCCATA